TTTATACCTCAAAGCTGAATCACTTTGTCCAACAATTCAAGCTTCTTCTTTGTGAGTTTTTGTTTCATTAGATTTGTAGGCACCAAAAGTAAGCCGGGAAGAGGAAGAAAGAGAGAACTCAAGAGCACTGGGAATGGGAACATGGAGGAAAGCCATGCATGTTTGTTTGCACCTCAAGTGTTGGAGGTGCAAATATTTGGCATGGATCCTTTCCTGATGCCTCCCATTCCTACCATTCTTGTGCACTCCTTCCTCTTCCTTTTCGCTTACGTGATAGCTCTGATGGAGAAACCTTAGACATGTGTCCACATGTTTAGGAAACATGAGACCTCAAAGGCGAGCCCGAAAGAGGAAGAATAGAGGGCCTTAGAGTAGTGGGAATGGGAACATGGAGGAAAGCCTAACCTGCTCGGTTTTCACCTCTAGTGTTGGAGGCGAGAATTTAGTTTGGTGTTTCCCAATGACTCCCATTCCTATTGTTCTAAAGCACTCCTTCCTCTTCCTTTTTTGGCTTGCTTGGTTGCTTTAGCTTGTAGACCAACTATATGTTTGCACATATTCGATGTGAAATCTCAAAAGTGAGCTAGGAAGAGGAAGAAACAAAGGGCCTAAGAGCAATGGATATGAGAACATAGAGGAAAGCCTAAGTTATCGGTTCTTCACATCTTGTGTTGAGGTGGAAATGCCATTTGGTATTTCCCAGTGCCTCTCATGCCTATCGTTCTTAAGCGCTCCTTCATCTTCATTTTTGTTTGCCAAATCTTTTAGCAGAAAAACTGAACATTTATGTGGATATATTCAGCTGGTATAAGATGTCCATTGTGAGACATGAAGAGGAAGAAGACCTAAGAGCAGTGGGGATGGGAACGTGATGGAAGGCTAAAGCCCTCGTTCCTTGTTGGAGTCTTTGGTTTGACTTTTTGTGATGCATCCTATGCTTATTATTCTTTGGTACTCCTTCCTCTTACTTTTGGGTCACACAACATGATTTGGTCAGGTTCATACACCCTGCATAGTAGGAGGGTTATTTTCCGTGTTTTTTTGGCATGCCTTAATCCATCAGTAAGATAAGATGCCAGATTGTTAATTGGTTTATACTACAACCTCAGAGTCATGGTTTTGTCAATCAACACAGCAATTAGATCAGATATTAACATAGCTAACTTAAATCAATAAGTACGTTTTGACATTAAACTGAAAATCAGGGTTGTTACATGATTGATAACTCAAACTCCAGATTAGCTAAACTGCTTGAAATTTCAAGGGCCAATAAGCTACTTAAACAGGGTTTGATAAACAGATAGTTTCATGGCAAGTTGCCCTGAGTAGCTGTTGTCTGGAGACGCAAGTCGATCCTTTTGGGATGGCTGCAATTTCTTGGGCTGTACTGAAATGTAATTTTTATAATAAAAACATTGATTCGGCCAGTTGCTGTTACAAAAAACACGATTATAAAATCTGGACATCTGAAGATTTCACTAATTCTAATCTGAAGAACACCGCGCAGTTTAAATATTTATTCTCCAGAATTAATGAAGTCCAAATTATCACACTAAAACAGTTGTATTAAGACCACACTTGTTCAAAGGGGAAAGTAATACTTCCTCCGTTTCAAAATTTTAGTGTTAGATACATCCGTATCTAGATAAATCTAAGACAAAGAATTTTAGGACGAAGGGAGTACTCGAATAGACAAAAACACATTTTCTCAATGATGGCAAATTTATTTAGTTTATAAAACACAACAATTCCATGACAAAAATACATGAGCTAATCGGATTTGCCATGCTCACCCACTAAACTTCCAACCTTCTTTCTTTCTTTTTGCGAGGAAAACTTAGGTTGTGTTTGATAGCATGTAGGTGTGAGATATCATAGTTTTATCAAAATAGAGTATTTTGGAGTATTCACAATACATAGAACCTGTTTGGCTGTTGCCGCATAACGCTGTAAATTTTGCTGTTTAGCCGTTGCGTTCAAGCACTCAGCAGCTCTATTTTTTAAAAAGAGGTTTGGGGTTCTTTTTTTACGCGGAGAAAAAACTGCAGTTTGCCCAATACTACAGAATTAAAAGCACAGTTTTTAGGGGCAACCAAACAGCTCATTATAAATAAAACTATGATAATCTCAAAAACCTGTAGTATTCCCCAAATACTTAAAAAATACTTTGCTATCAAACGGGGCCTTACATCTTTCAACCAACATAGTTTGCCATGAAAAAACGTTCGATTTGCTTTGCCATGTCTAAAAAACTGACGTTCGGTACATCATGATTATACGAAGCAACCTCGAAACATAATAAGGAAAATATTCAATCAAGGACTGTCATAGTAAGAAGCAGATTTAAGCAAGGATTCTAGTTCTTGACATCACGGTACGACTAACTGCACTTGCTGTCCAAACAGTAAAACATACTGCTACTGGACTGGTGCTTTAGGGATTCCTTTGTGGCGTGGACCCTTCGTTGCTTTAGTGCAAAACAAAAAGTAAATCCAACCGCCTCATCCTAAACTTCTCAGCCAGCTTAATTCCGTTTGCTGGCTACGTAGTAACCATGGCAACAGCAGTCAGGGTATATCACTAGCAAAAACATAGGGTCATTCCCAGGGGACAACCAAGGTTGCACTCCAAGTACAAACCACATAAACCGGACCGCCACACGACGCTGCACGATGGCAGCAACATCACGGTTCCTTGCATTCTCATGCACTACAAGCAACTAGCCACAGCAGATCCATTCATTCATAACAAGACACACATCAAAAGGGCCTTGATTCATTACCATACATTAATAATCCATTCGAATCCTCTGGGAATTTTCCAACATAACATCATCACATACAGGGGTAGGGGGCTGGTCACTCATTCATCAGGTTCACAGCAATACACAATTGCCGTCAGGAGGGCGGCCCTGGAAGAAACTCGCTGCAAAGCCTCACCTCTCCGAGCGACGGCCTCACTCGGGCACATTCATGGGCTGCTCGAGGCTCTCGACGAGGATCCTCAGGTCTAGATCCTTGTCCTCGAACTTCTTGATGAAGGCATGGTTCTGCGACAACAACATCGAACGAACGACGATTCAGCACACACACTAGTCGACAGAATCAACGGTACCACAGTTACTTGGACACGCTACAACAACTTGTAAAGTGGAAGGGAATGCTCACCAAGAGTTCTGAAGCAGACATCCGTTCGGCGGGGTCCTTCTGTATGCTGCAAAGCAAGATAGTAATATGAAATAACACTGCAATATGATATGCTCCTGCATGTATATACTACACAGACTGCACAAATCTACAAAGCAAAAGCTAGCAGGAACCATCGGTTGCCTTCAAGATGTGCAAATTTCATTATGAATAATCGCTAACTAAAATATAGACCAATAAAACATATATCCAATAAATGGAGTTGACTGTAAGTTCTAAAGTATTCAAATGGTCTGTTTTCGGCCGGGTTTCCTAATAAATTGGTCAATTCTCTTCTATATGGAAAGGCAGGGCTTTTGCCAGTTGCTCGAAAAAAAGTAGAATTTGAATGGTAGATATGAGCCAATCGCTGCAGGTCAAGCATGATGTGAGGACTGAGGAGTTTAGACAATGTCACATGGTAAATGCATGTAAGTGCATTACTGTATTAGTTAATCACATCAATGACACACCACTCTGACCACCGTAGCTAAGACTACCAGCAGAAATCGGAGTGCGAAAAATGGTAATTGGCATACAAAACATGTAATAATATGTGCATTCAGATTGTTTTTACCATCAGTTCCTAAAGAGTTCACACATGGGATAGCAAACTAATGGATAAATATGCAGGCTAGCAAGAAACAACCATGACTGCAACAAGATATATCTGCAACTTCGAGAATTGTGAACTACAATGGAATTTGTACACTTGATCATAAATTGGAGTTGTCTTTTACATATTGTTTAGATGTGTGGGATAAGGCTTATTTCCCCACTCTGGAACCCTGCTGGCTATTTGCATCCCAACCTGGGATATTTGATCTTGGAGGGATGGTGGCCGACCTACGGTTGAACTGGAAAGTACTTTGATGGGTAGAAGAACTACCATACTCTCTTCGGGATCTTGTTCTTCCGTTGTGTCCGAACCATGTTCTTAAAATACTGTGTGTATAATGAGTTTAGACTGAATATGTGATACCTTCATGTGTTTGATGTTTTCTTTGGAGATATGTTTCCTATAATTTCTCATGCCATGTAGTTGTGTACAGCCTGCAGAATTTGGATACTAAATTACTTAAAAAAACAATAGGACTATACACACTTTTATTAATAAAATGGCCTATAGACATTTTCGTTTTGCAGATATGAGATCTCTCTAATCATGTTGTAATCACATTCTGTCATCTATAATAATGCGCAGCTCATGCCCAAAGTACCTTGTGTTCCAATTAGTTGTCACTTTGGTGGTTTTTTGCCCCACTATCTTGTACTTTTTTCCAAGTTTACTTACAGGGTTTGATTTATCCAATTTCATATTCTTTTAGCTCATAACTTTTTATCGCTACATATTTTGACACCATAAATGCACAGGCAGACACAGATAATGTTCTAGAAAAAAGGCTGGTATGGATATTATGTACCAGTTTCAGATATGGGTAATAAAGGTAATCACAAGAGATCTTTATGCACATACCCTAAATTAAGAGTAGAGGACAATAGGACACCGCCGGTCCTTATGTGGCCCCATTATCATTGACTTAAAATGGTGCCCTCATGCACCGGGTGTCTTCATTGCTTTCTCCTCTAAGGTTCTGCATATGGCGCACCACCCATTATTTATACCTCAAAGCTGAAACACTTTGTCCAACAATTCAAGCTTGTCCTTCCGAGAGCTTTTGTTTCTCTAGATTTGTAGGCACTGAAAGTAAGCCGGGAAGAGGAAGAATGAGAGAGCTCAAGAGCACTGGGAATGGGAACATGGAGGAAAGCCCTGCTTGTTTGTTTGCGCCTCTAGTGTTGGAGGTGCAAATATTAGGCATGGGTCCTTTCCTGATGCCTCCCATTCCTACCGTTGTTGTGCACTCCTTCCTCTTCCTTTTGGATTGCATAGTAGCTTTGATGGAGAAACGGTAGACATGTGTCCACATATTTAGATAACTTGAGAGTTTGAAGGCAAGCCGGGAAGTGGAAGAGAAGAGGGCATAAGAGCAGTGGGAGTGGGAACACGGAGGAAAGCCTAACTTGCTTTGTTTTCACCTCTAGTGTTGGAGGTGAGAGCTTGCTTTGGTGTTTCCCGGTGCCTCCCATTCCTACAGTTCTCAAGCACTCCTTCCTCTTCCTTTTTTGGGTTGTTTTAGCTTAGAAACAAAATATGTGTGCACATATTCCATGTGGGATCTCAAAAGCGAGCAAGGAAGAGGAAGAAAGAGAGGGCGTAAGAGCAGTGGGAATGAGAACATAGAGGAAAGCCTAACTTAATGGTTCTTCACCTCTTGTCTTGAGGTGGCAATTCAGTTTGGCATTTCCCGATGCCTCTCATTCCTATCGTTCTTAGGCGCTCCTTCCTCTTCCTTATTGTTTGCTAAATCACTTTAGGAAAAAAACATACATATGCATATGTTCAGATGATATGAGATGCCCATTTTGAGACAGGATGAGGAAGGAAAGATGGCCCAAGAGCAGTGGGCATGGGAACATGATGGAAGGCTAAAGCTCTCTCAGTTCCTCGTGCAACGCTGAAAGAGGCTATGGTTGAGTTTTCCTGATGCCTCCCATGCCTATTATTCTTTGGAGCCCCTTGCTCGTCTTTTTGTGTTGCACAACATGAAGAGGATTCATAGTAGTATAATACGATTTTATTCAAGTTCATTCACACTACATAGTTGGACTGCAAATTTCTGTGTTAAAGATTATTCTGCACACGAATCCTGATGCCAAAACATTTAATTTACCTTTCAGGTATTATATATATGAAGTATACATATCTATATCTGAAAAGGGGCCTTCTTAGAAATATAAACAAGCACACCGTGAGACTTAACAAGATGAGACACACAACTTTAACACATAGAATGGTACAAATTTTCACTAGTTCCCTATGTTGAACTCATGCTAGAGACTAAATCACATCAATGACACCACTGTAGCTAAGAGTACAAGCAGAAATCAGAGTGTGAAATATGGTAATTTGCACACAGAACATGTAACGATATGTGCATTGCAGGTTATTTTTATCATCAATTCCTAGAGTTCACACATGGGATAGCAAACTAATGGATAGATATGCAGGCTAGCAAAAAACAACCATGGCTGCAACAAGATATATCTGTAGCATCGAAGAAGTTGTAAACTCCAATGGAAATTGTACACTTGATCTTAAATGGTTGTCTTTTTATATATTGTTTAGATGTGTGGGATAAGGCTTATTTCCCCACTCTTGAACCTTGCTGGATGTTTGCATCTCAACCTCTGTTTTAATCCTTGGAGGATGGTGGCCGAGCTACAAGGTTGAACTGGGAAGTGCTTCAATGGGTGGAGGAAGTACCATACACTCTTCGGGATCGTGTTCTTCCTTTGTGTCCCAACCTTGTTCTTAAAATACTATGTGTTTATTGAGTTTAGATTGAATAGTGAATATGTGATCACTATACCTTCAAGTGTTTTCCTCTAGGGATCAGTGACGGGCTCACCTCCCGGCAACCCCAGGTGGCTGCCTGGGCTAGTCCAGAAAGTTACTCCCAAGCACTAGTGATAATCTATGGTTTGGTTAGAAGGATTATTTCTTTGGGCAGGTGGTAGCTCACACTCTCACAGTTAAGTCTTGCCCGGGCTACATTCACAGGCTGGCTCCGCCACTGCTAGGGATCGAGGGTGATGGTTACTTTGGAGATATATTTTTTTCTATATTTCTCACATGCCATGTAGTTGTGTACAGCCTGCAGAATTTGTATACTAAATACTTAAAAAACAATAGCACTATACACTTTTTTTTCTTGATAAAATAGCCTCTAGACATTTTGGTTTTGCATATATGAGATCTCTCTTATCATGTTTTAATCACATTCTGTCATCTCTAATACTGCAGCGGATGTCCTAAGTACCTTGTGTTCCAATTAGTTGTCACTTCGGTGGTTCTTTGCCCCACTGTTTTTTAATTTTTCCAAGTTTACTTACAGGGCTTAATACTTACAGGGCTTAATTTGCCCAATTTCATATTACTTTTAGCTCATAACTTCTTATTGCTAGATATTTTGACACCATAAATGCACAGGCTGATACGGATATTGTTCTAAAAAAGGCTGGTGTGGATATTATGTACCAGTTTCGGATATGGATAATGAAGGTAAGGAGAAGAGATCTTAACGTGCATGCCATAAATTAAGAGTAGAGGACAATAGGACAGGGCCAGTGATTATGTGGCCCCACTGTCATTGACTGTAGAATGGTGCCCCCATGCACCAGATGTCTTCATTGCTTTCTCCTCTAAGGTTCTGCATGGTGCACCACCCATTATTTATACCTCAAAGCTGATACACTTGGTCCAACAATTCAAGCTTGTCCTTCGAGAGCTTTTGTTTCGCTAGATTTCTAGGCACTGAAAGTAAGCCGGGAAGAGGAAGAAAGAGAGAGCTCAAGAACACTGGGAATGGGAACATGGAGGAAAGCCCTGCTTTTTCGTTTGCACCTCTAGCGTTGGAGGTGCAAAGATTTGGCATGGATCCTTTCCCAATGCCTCCCATTCCTGCCGTTGTTGTGCACTCCTTCCTCTTCCTTTTGGATTGCATAGTAGCTTTGATGGAGAAACAGTAGACATGTAACTTGAGAGTTTGAAGGCAAGCCGGGAAGTGGAAGAAAAGAGGGCATAAGAGCAGTGGGAGTGGGAACATGGAGGAAAGCCAACTTGCTTTGTTTTCACCTCTAGTGTTGAAGGTGAGAACTTGCTTTGGTGTTTCCCGATGCCTCCCATTCCTATTGTTCTCGAGCACTCCTTCCTCTTCCTTTTATGGCTTGCTTGGTTACTTTAGCTTAGAAACCAAATATATGTGTGCACATATTCGATGTGGGATCTGAAAAGCGAGCTAGGAAGAGGAAGAAAGAGAGGGCATAAGAGCAGTGGGAATGAGAACATAGAGGAAAGCCTAAATTGCTGGTTCTCCACCTCTTGTCTTGAGGTGGCAATTCAGTTGGGCATTTCCCGATGCCTCTCATTCCTATCGTTCTTAGGCGCTCATTCCTCTTATTGTTTGCTAAATCAGCTTAGGAAAAAAAACATGCATATGCATATGTTCAGATGATATGAGATATGAGCCAATTGCTAAATTGCTGCAGGTCAAGAATGATGTGAGGACTGAGGAGTTCTTGCCGGTTGCTCGAAAAAAGAAAGTATTTGAATGGTAGATATGAGCCAATTGCTGCAGGTCAAGAATGATGTGAGGACTGTGGAGTTTAGACAGAGTCGCATGGTAAATGCGTTTTAGTGTGTTACTGTTTTAGTTAATCACATCGATGACACACCACTCTGTCCACTGTAGTTAAGAGTACGAGCAGAAATCAGAGCGCAAAAAATGGTAATTAGCACACAAAACATGTAGCAATCTGTGCATCCAGATTATTTTTATCATCAGTTCCTAAAGAGTTCACACATGGGATAGCAAACTAATGGATAAATAAGCAGGATGGCAAGAAACAACCATGACTGCAACAAAGATATATCTGCAGCTTCGAAAATTGTGAACTCCAATGGTATTTGTACCCTTGATCATAAAACGGTGTTGTTTTTTATATGTTGTTTAGATGTGCGGGATAAGGCTTATTTCCCCACTCCGGAACCTTCTGGCTGTTTGCATCTCAACCTGGGTGATTAAATTCTTGGAGGGATGGGTGGACGAGCTACCATACTCTCTTCGGGATCTTGTTCTTCCTTTGTGTGCGAACCTTGTTCTTAAAATACTATGTGTATAATGAGTTTAGACTGAATATGTGATCACTATACCTTCATGTGTTCTCTAGGAATTGAGGGTGATGGTTTCTTTGGAGATATATTCCTATATTTCTCTCGTGTCATGTAGTTGTGTACAGCCTGCAGAATTTGGATACTAAATTACTTAAGACTATACACATTTTTTCTTGATAAAATTGCCTATAGACATTTTGGTTTCGCAGATATGAGATCCCTCTCATCATGTTGTAATCACATTCTGTTATCTGAAATAATGCAGCTCATGTCCAAAGTACCATGTGTACCAATTAACTGTCACTTTGGTGGTTCTTTGCCCACAGTTTTGTAATTTTTCGAAGTTTACTTAGAGGGGTTAATTTATCCAAATTCATATTATTTTTAGGTCATAACTTCTTACTGCTACATGTTTTGACACTAAATGCACAGACTGATACAGATATTGTTCTAAAAAAAGGCTGGTACGGATATTATGTACCAGTTTCGGATATGGTTAATAAAGGTAAGCAGAAGAGATCTTTACGCACATGTCATAAATTAAGAGTAGAGGACAATAGGACAGGGCCAGTGATTATGTGGCCCCATTATCATTGACTGTAGAATGGTGCCCCCATGCACCGGGTGTCTTCATTGCTTTCTCCTCTAAGGTTCTGCATATGGTGCACCACCCATTATTTATACCTCAAAGCTGAAACACTTGGTCCAACAATTCAAACTTGTCCTTCGAGACCTTTGTTTCGCTAAATTTCTAGGCACTGAATGTAAGCCAGGAAGAGGAAGAAAGAGAGAGCTCAAGAGCACTGGGAATGGGAACATGGAGGAAAGCCCTGCTTTTCTGTTTGCACCTCTAGTGTTGGAGGTGCAAACATTTCATATTTGGCATGGATCCTTTCCCAATGCCTCCCATTCCTACCGTTGTTGTGCACTCCTTCCTCTACCTTTTGGATTGCACAGTAGCTTTGATGGAGAAACGATAGACATGTGTCCACATATTTAGATAACTTGAGAGCTTGAAGGCAAGCCGGGAAGTGGAAGAAAAGAGGGCATAAGAGCAGTGGGAATGGGAACATGGAGGAAAGCCTAAGTTGCTTTGTTTTCACCTCTAGTGTTGGAGGTGAGAACTTGCTTTGGTGTTTCCCGATGCCTCCCATTCCTATTGTTCTAAAGCACTCCTTCCTCTTCCTTTTTTGGCTTGCTTGGTTCCTTTAGCTTAGAAACCAAATACATGTGTGCACATATTCGATGTGGGATCTCAAAAGCGAGCTAGGAAGAGGAAGAAAGAGAGGGCGTAAGAGCAGTGGGAATGAGAACATAGAGGAAAGCCTAAAATTGATGATTCTTCACCTCTTGT